AAAAAATACCATATTAAACCTGAATATAGGTAAAATTTGGTTTGAATTAATTAAATAATGATAGTTTCGTGCTTTTCAATAAAGTTCCATCATATTCCAACCCTTAAAAAGCGACCCTCATTAGAGATTAATATAAAAAATTAGTAATGCGAAGAAAATGATTTCACCTTGAAACGACTTGCATAAAAATATGGAATTAAGCTCAACTCACCCTCTGCTTTATAGTTTATGTCATGCCGATGAACCCTGATTGTTCTTAGGGGTGAAAACTACCCCTAATTTTCAAAAATTGTAAAATAATATTACAAATCCTAAGATGAGTGAAATTTGGTTTGGATTAGTTAAATAGTGAGTTTTTTATACTTTAAAATACAAATTCATACATTTTCAACCCTTAAAAATCAATGTTATGAGTGCTATAGGTGAAAACAATTTTTTGCCAAAATTTTGCAACTTTTCAACTTTTGAAAATCACCCTTTACAACACTGAAGTTTTTATAAACTAATTTATAAGATATAAATTGAAAAAAGTAGAATTAAATACAAAAAAATTATCAACATAAAAAGGCACCATATATTCTTATACATTTACATAAATAGTTGAAAATATTTACATTTATAGGTAAAACAATTATAATATTAATTTTATTCGTCATCAATTACATCTTCATCGTGATCTATGTCATCATCATCTTCCTCAATTATTGGTGGACTGTTATTGCACCCTTCACCTGAGCACCCAGAACAAGTAGAGTTACAGTATAAAACAACTTTTCTGCACCCATATGAAACGCCGCATCCTTTTTTGCATTGGCAAAAAATAATTTTCAAAAATTTATCGGGTGCAGGTTGTTTGTTCATGCGTACGGGTAATAACAAACCATCTTTGGAAAACCATCCCAATCTGTTGCTCTGATATTTTCATTGCCAAGCCATAGACATATGAGCAGATGTTTTATTCTGTTGTATGGGATTTCAAAATAAGAACGCTTAAAATTTCGAATGTATAACGCCCCACTAGCTAATATACCGGTTTTGTAGATTATTATGCTCCGAAATGTACTGTACTATACTAATGGAATTTTCCGGAAAAAAATTAACTGGTTTTTTAAAGTATTTCCTTTAATTTTTAACGATAGATGTTCTTCAAAAACGATTTGTAGAGGTTTTTAATAGCTACAAGGATCTGTGAATTAAATCTTTTTGGAACCCTTGGTTTTTAAATGCGGTGAGTTTAAAGGGCCCGAAAAAGATGGTGCTTGATCGTAAATCGATGCTTTAAACGGCTATATCTCGCCAAATATTCATTGTACAACAAATCTAAAATAAAGGATAATTTTAGTCATTAAAAAAGCTACAATTTGGTAATTTTTATTTTTTTCATATATTCAGTATTTTCTGGGCATATTTAAAAAAAGAAGGGTAAAAAATATGAAATTGTAAATCGTTTCTCGCTTTAAGCTGTACTTTTTCTAAAACTAAGCATTTTAAATGGGTCAAACTTCTTGGAAGTATTAACAATACATCTACAAAGGGAATTGCAGAAGGGTGAAGATCGATTTTAATTATGGGGGTGGTTAGGGTGTTGTTTTCCTCGATTTTTTCGTAAAAAATGAGGTATTGACCTTATTTTTTTTTGATAGGTTTATTTATGCTCTTTAAAAAAGGTTTTGTGAGTTTTCTTTCCAAAAATGCATCATTTTCCCGATATTTGACTTTGAATCTTTCAAATTTGGCATTTGAAGAAAACCGCTGAACATTGATATTGTATTTGTAATTGTATTTGTCTTTTTAAAAGCTACAAATTTGTTCTCTACAATTTTTTTGATAAAATGCACCATTTTCGAGTTATTCGCGAAAAATCGATTAAAAACGTGGATTTTTTCGTCTAAAAGTTGTTACTTTCAATCGCGAAATAACTTGAAAAATATCATTTTATAAAAAAAATGTATAGCACATTTTTTGTTTAGAATCACTTTTCTAATCGAAACCTGTAGTTAAAGCGTAAAAAAAATTTCACCCCGGAGATGGGGTGGCAACCACCCCCTAGGCTTTGGCGCACTTTGGTTCGATATAGATTTTGATCCTTAGGCTATTACCTACCTTCTGTTAAATTTCAAGTCAATCCGCGCCGCACGAAAAAATTGCGAGGTGAAATGCTACATTTCCTGGACTATAACTGGTTTGACAGCATAATCGTAGATTTATGTGTAGCTTTCAATTTTTATGAGTTCAGAATCCAGCAGCCCACTGAAGTATGGGATTTTTTATAATATAATTATTTGACAATCTTTTGTTGGCCAACCAGCTACAGCAGAATTGAGCCGAAATACATTATATTCCTATGTTCCGAATTTATTTCGTTCAATCTGTATATATTATATATATATAATATGTGAAGATAAACAATAATTGCCATTTGATTCCACAAGCTTTTGGAGTACATCGCAAATTATACAACAAATCGTTACAAGCATAATATAACCAAATGTTTTTATCACTTTTCTGTTAATCCTCTAATGGGCAAAGTATCTAATAAGATACAATTAGTATTTGGCCGTATACCGGGTAATGTATCCAGAAAGATACTTATCAATTTTCTTCAGTACTGGCAATGTACACCCGAAGATACTACTAAATTGTCGCTTAACTGGCAATGTTGTCTTCCTAGATACTACTTTTCAAAGTGATCCTATCTGTTTGTTTATAGACAAATTGTGAATATTATTTTATACAATTATTTGCTGAAGACCCAATTAACTATAATTATAGTTTGCCAACCATACAATAACAATTAACACATAAAACATTAATTTACTTACGAATGACACAAATTAGCATTTTTTTGGAAGTCATTTTGAGCACGTCTACACAAAACACTCTCTGATTGTGGCAAAACTCTGTGTATGGCATTCAATTAATTTGTTGTTAGCCGAATGCTATAGGGAGAGAGTACTTTTAAAATCTTGCGGCAAACTTAGTTTATGTAGAGGAAGAATAAATTAATAAATAAACGTATCCTGGAGTGCACACCGTCAAGTTTAGGGTTTAAAGTGGTATGATAATAAGTCGGTGACTCTATCAATCACGTTTGCTGTTGATAGCCTGTCGCTAAAATAAAAAGGTTGACAAGGAAATAAAAGCAAAAGTACAATGTGTCTTGTCCTGCTATTCTCAAGCAGTATAACTCACATATAGAAGGGGTTGATCTGGCCCATATGATGATCGCTCTATACAGGATGCGTTTCGTATACACAGATGGTACATGCTTATATTTTCTCTCATTATTGACCTATCTTTGACAATGGTCTGGGTGGTGTATCGTAGGCACCATGCCATGGTAGTACAAGCTCAAAGTATATCAGCCTAAAAAATATTTAGAAAATCAATTGCCCGATGGGACTACTAAAAAAGGGGCGGATGGTGCAAACAAAAAAGAAAATTATCTAAAGAAGAACAAAACTCTGAATAAAATAAGAATTTACAAAGATACATCAGTAGATAACAACTTGCGCTATAATAGAATAGACAAGTGATTTCCAACAGAGCTACAGAGAAAAGGGGCGATAAGTGGGGCGTTTAGCATCTCGAAAAGAGAAATTGGTAATTTAGAACAATAAGAAAAGAGAAAAAAATACAATACTTTTGATCGGATATACATAGGATAATAAAAAGTTTACAGGAGCTTAACTCAAAGTTTGAAAGGCGAGTTACTGTTGGGTCATTAATTGCAAAAGTTACCAAGAAAAAAAACAAAACAAAAAAAACAAGGGTTTACTTGCTTCCTACAAGATATCATTGTCAATAACAGAAAGTACCAAGCCGCAAACAATGGGAGAAGAACTTATCCTCCCAGCTGTCAAAGAGATAGTAGTTGATACTATGTTAGGACCCAGTCAGGCCAGCCAAGTAACAGATGCAGTTCCTCTCAGCAATAATACTGTCTCCAGAAGCACTAATGAAATGGAGCGAATATCGAAGATGTTTTGTGCAACAAATTGAAAAGCAGAGAGTTTACTGTACAACTTGATGTGAGTACCCTGATTGACAGCAAAACTTTGCTTCTGTCATATGTCCGATTCATTAACGATAATGGAGAAATGGCCGAGGAAATGCTGTTTGCTAGAAGTCTGATTACTAATACAAACGGATCTTCCATATTTGAGGTCGTAAAGAAATTTTTTGAGGAAAAAGAGATAGGTAGGGGTCTATGGAAGAGTATCACCGAGCTGCAAGCCCTTATCTCTTGCCGTACTGCTCCACCATAGGCCGATCAGACACCAGAATTTTCTAGTCTAAGCCGAAGATTCCTGGAATTTTAAACTGCTGCGTTAGCCTTTTTATTTTCTGTACACCGAGTTGTGGATCGAACCCACATCCACTGAACCACTTGCAGTAAAGCGAATGAGAACCGGCCGCAGAGCTCACTCGGCTATTTGACCGACAGGAAAAGAGATTTATGACCCTTATCAAATATGATCGCATGTGCTACTGATGGTGCAGCAGCAATAACAGGACGCCATCGGGGATTTATTGCATATCTGAAACAAGCAGTACCTAAAATTTGGTATGGCGTCATTCAGAGAGAGAATTTGACTGTCAAGAATTTGAGTGGGAGGTTTTATGATTCTCTTTAACTTGTCATAGATGCGGTAACTAAAATTAAAGCAAAACCAAAGAATGATCGAATATTTCGTACACTTGTGAAGAAAATGATGAGATATTTAATATATTGCTACTACATACGGAAGTCCGCTGGCTTCCTAAAGGCAATTGCTTATGGCGGTTCTTTCGTCTTATGGATACTGTTATTGAAGTTCTTAATACTACTGACCCCACTGTAAGTACAGAACTACAAGAGAAGCGCAACGATCGCTTACTTATATTTTTCAAAAATTAAATGAAATGAATCTGCAATTACAGGGGAAGAACATAAATATGGCCAAAGCAAAGAGAGTAGTCGGAGCTTTCATTGACAAACTATTCATTTTAAAGAAAATATGCAGAGAAGAGATCTGACCAAATTTCCCAATTCGAACTCTTCTTGTGGTAATTCTGAAGATCTTCAAACATATTGCCTATACCTTCAAACACTTAAAGAAGATCTGCAGTCCCGATTCCAAGATATAACTAGTCTGAAAAGTACCAACTTTATTAATCCTTTCAGCGTGGAACTTTCAACGATTTGTCCTTCTCTTCAAGAAAACTTGACTAATTTGAAACATGATGTTGAAATTGAAAGTTTTCCACATGACATATCTAGTGGAGAAAGGTTTTAGGTCTGTGTGTATATTAATGAACAGACAAAGAAATAGGCTCGACATAATAGAAAGAGGGGAGTTGAGGTTATAGGAGGACATAAAGAAATTATGTGAGGAACACCAGGCGCAAAGAACATGCCCCGGAAACTTATATGTATGACCTTGGAACATTCCTTCATCACTTTGACCCCAGGTAGTTAATAAAGAGAAATGACGGCCTATCTCGCTGATGAAGACTTTAACCAATCATTTATTTTACACAATTTTAGGGTGTCAAATAAAATAATCAAACGAAGCTTAATTCCGCATCGCAATGTCAATTCTGTCAAAAGTGAAAGGATTAGAAGAAACTATGAATGTTGGACTGTATATTTGCGCTGGTTATGAACTTCTTGTTGAATTGAATAAATGAATTAAAACTTTGACAGAATGAAAAAACGTGTTTGTCAACTTGAAAGGAATAATTTATCCTGACATTTGAATGTTGCCGTTTAGACAATTCTGCGCTGATTGTCGTATAATTTGAAGTGCAACAAAAAGTAAAGACAGCTCTTTCGTTCGTTTACAAGCTTTCAATTTTATTTTATTATCTTTAACTTTCGTTTGCATTTATTCTTAGTGATTTCGATTTAAGTTGGTTACTTAGTTTTTAAAGTACCTATAGTTTTAGTTACCTATTGTAGCAAAGAATTTTTGTGTTGTGCTAGTAAAAAAACTAAACATGGTGAATTATTGTATTGTTCCGTTGTGTACAAATCATGGAAAAAATTACAAAAAGGATGATGAGAGTAAGTTGTCAGGAAGCAAACAGTAAAAATTTGTTTCTGAAAATATCAGTGTAATAAATATTATTAATAAATATAAAATCAGTGTAACTAGTTTATAACTGTTTTATCTTAATTAATTAATTCATCGGAAAATAATAGGATATTTTCAGTAAATTTTAATTAGTATCGAAATAGCCCGCAAGAGGCACTACCACTCTTTTACACATGTATAACTATTTATCATTTTACGAAATGTAAAAATAAATAAATATGTATTCATTATTTGTTTCTGTTTAATTGGGTGGAGGGGGGCGATGTAGTATTCATAACTGGTGAAACCTGTCTAAGGGCGATCATGGGAAAAAGGTTGGGAGCCACTGGAATAGACCACTTTCCTCAGCCCATGCCTGCGTCAATGAGGGGAAGATATTGGTTTTGTAAGTCGGGTACTATTTTCTTTCAGTGCATGAAGTATGAATGTAGGCGACTTCTATCATCACAAATAAGTAGGCACCTAGGTTGTAAGATTTTTGTTTTTTATGAAGAGTTCTATTTAAAATATAAGAATTATTTTTGTACTCTATTTTAAAATTACAAGCTGTTTTTTTAATTTGTAGAAAAACTTAATTTCCTGTTTTCCTATTTAAACACTTTTTTTTAAGAAATCGTTAAAAATCTTAAAAAATGCATGGATCCTCAGTGATAACCAGATTTGTAATATTCTTGGCAATGTGACAAATGTATAACAAATTCAAATCTGGTACTTAGCGATAAGTGAAAAGTAAAGTATTTCTTTCATAAATTTATAAATAATTCTAAGACGACATTAATACAAAGAAAACATAATTTTTACATTTTTATTTTAGTTAGCCAAGAAAAGGGCTAAATTAGTTTGACTTTAATATTATATTGTTGCATGATGTTCCATGTTTTCATACCAAAAAATGATTTTTTATCAATATTTTTATACAAAAATAGAATTAAAATTTTTATCTGTGAATTTGTTTTTAATAAAAAACAAAAATTTATTTGTTAAAGGATTAAAACGTCAAAAACATTTAATAAATATTTATTATAATGTTCCATTTGATTTAAAAACTTAAACTGCTTGTAAAGCTTTCCTTATTCTGGTTGGCCGAATCAACATCCGTAAAAACTGCGAACCTTTGGAATCCCGAACGAGATTGCTTGTTATAAGATAACAGAAAACTACCATTATTTACTCTTTTTCTTTGTTCTTTTCCAGCCAATCGAAAAAATATGTGATGGTAGTGACAAATGGTTTCTTTCTTTATAAAGCGTCAAATTTCACTTCCATTCGATTGTCCTGTTGCCTAAGAACTTCCAAGTCGTTTGTCGTTTTTGTTTTATTTTTTCGAAGCGTGATTATTTCTATTTACTCTCTTTTTGTTACATATATTATTCTGGGTGTTTAAGTAATACAGAACTTTATAAAAATATAATAACAATCTTGTTCTATTTTTTTTGCAAACTTTTAAGGCCACAAGTAATAAATAGTAGAAAATAAAAATATTCAGTTCTAGAAAATATAGTTCAAGACTAATATTAAGTTACCGTTTCCTTTAAAATTTAAAATAAATACTGATTTATAATTCTATTAGAAAATTTAAATGAAACATAAATTTCCATCAGATTCTTTTAATTCTGTACTAAACTCTGGACTGGAAAAATTACCGCAGTATTTATATAAGTAGAAAAGAGACAATTCACACCAAAAATTTTTATAAGTGAAATGAAATGAAATGAGTGAAAAGAAGTAATAGTACGTCCACTCTAGCTTTTTCCGTGACTCATGATTCATTTTCAAACAAGTTAAATCAAAATATTAAATAAAATGCACGTTGATGTGTAGATAATTATCACTGATACCTACTAATGTCAATGTAATAATTACGAAATGTTTATTAACCCGGTGGATGTATTTTATAAAGTTAAATTTAATAAATATATTATTTATTATAATTTTTGTGTATTTGGATTAGTATTCGTCAGAAATAAGATTAATAAAAATATGATGAAAAGAATCTTAAAAAGTAATCTTATTATTATTGCGTGCCACAAGGGAATGTCTTAGGTCCGGTCCTGTACATATTGTATACGTGTGACATTCTAGAGCTAGAACAAGTACTATTGCCACCTTCGCGGATGATACAGCCATACTGGCGATAGGAGACACTAGTGAAGAAGCGACTGATAAGCTGCAACTATCAGGAAATAAAATACATAACTGGACCAGAAAATGGCGAATAAAATTAAATGAGACTAAATCTGCACACATTAACCTTACAAATAAAAAATTAAAAATTTACCAGTTAGAATTAATGATACCCGAATTCCTTATGCAACATTAGCAAAATACTTCTACTTAGCATCACCCTAAACGCGAAGCTGCGCTGGAAAGTCCATGTCAAAAAGAAAAGAGGGGAGCTTGATATTAGATATAAGAAATTGTATGGGCTAATTGGAAAAAAATTAACATTATCAATTCATAATAAATTATCCATCTACAAGCAAGTACTGAGGCCACTATGGGTATATGGGTGCCAACTCTGGGGCTGTACCAAAGCTATACTCTGTTTTTTAACCAGGAGGAGTAAACCAAAAAGACAGATTCACACCCAAGAAAGTTACTAGAAAAGTCACCAAATACATCTTCTTTTTTTGTTGATTATCTCGGCCTTGCGGTAATCGAGTAATCAATATCGGACAACCTCACACGTTAATTTTAACCTAACTTTCTTCATTTATGTTTGAATAATAAAATGTTTTTTTTTCAATTCACTTCCAATATATATTATTACAATAAAATCCCAATTATTACATAAAAAAAGGACGTTTTTCACATTTGATCCCATGTATATATATTTAAATATCGGGTGATCCAGTTTTATAGATCTCTTGAGTATATGGTATTTAATTATAATTTAGACAATATTTTGATCGGGAGAGTCAATAATGTTACAGATCTAAGTATGGTTTTTCACAGAAATGTGTCTTTTAATTTGCAAATAGATCTTATATGCAACAAAGCTATGTAAATGCATGTATCAAAAAGTTAGGGAGTGTTCAAGATTTCTGAAATACTGTTCTTTTTAAACTGCGTAGACCATATTCTTATTCTGGTATGATCAATTTCTTGAATCTAGTTTTTTTTCTTACCAGATACTTTGAATAAATAAGTGTGTACTTACAATTTCTTTAATGCTGGATTCTTGTTTAATTTTTGACAGTGAGTTTATCCCATTTGTTATCAAATTTAAACTAAAATTTAAAATTTACTAAAAAATACTGAATTTCTGTGAGATAATCAACAAATCCAATCTATTATATTACATCCTATCACATCATAACCAGGAAGAACAAAACCAACTGTATCAATACAATCAAACTAAAACACAACATTACTTTACTAATATTCTTTTATTGTGATGAAAACAAAATGGAAATGCTTCTGAACAAGTATACACTAAATTTAAAAGATAGTTGCCGTTTTTCTTATGATTATTAGATATAATTAATATACATTTATAAAAACTCTAAACTATATTTAGTATAAATATCATCTAGAAAAATATCACATTAAATACTATTCGCATATCACCAAGTCCAAAAGTTATTATAAACAACTTACGAGTCAGAAATCGATTTATATATTAGAGGAAAAAATAATAAATAAATTTTACAAATGTCATTAGTGTCAATATGTCATAAATTTAGTGGAGTAAACTTGCCTGCGGTTGGACCATTGCAAACAAGCATTACGGCGCGGAAAATTTGAATTACTCCTCCTGGTTAAAAAACAGACCATAGTAATATACATATTATTCAGAGATTTCGAAACAAAGTACTAAAAAACATTGTTGATGCTCCTTGGTATATCCGTAACAGCAACCTCCACCAGGACCTGGGTAATGGAAACTATGATCGAAATAATCAAGAATTGTTCAAAAAGAACGATTTTCGAAGTGGAAATTGAAACGTCAATAAACGTATTTTTATCTTTAATTGTGGCTTATTTCGAGTTAAATAGTAATTAATTTAAAATTCCACAAGAAAATAGCTTCAGAACAATATTGCATATTAGTTGTAGTGCATAAGTTAATAGATAAAATAAGAGTAAGCCATAATAGGGTAAGCCTTAGATTTAAGTATTTGCTGTTATTATGTTAGGTCAGAAATAACTGATAACTGGTCAATAAATCAATAAACACGACAAATGAGCTAATGTCA